TGGGATCAGGTATCAGGCATCTAAGACCCAGAACAAAAGAATCATATCATTGTGAATGAAGTGCACTGTGGAGTAATGACCCAAAGCCCATCTGTAGGCAATTGGACATCCTCTTACAGAAGGGTCACGGGGAGGAGACAAGCCAGTATAGCAACGATGAAACACAACATTCCTTTGGTTCATTAATGCCTCCCCACCCTACTATCATGACCCCAATTCTACCTTACGAATCTGGCTAGAACAGAGCATCTACATGGGTATAGATAAGAGCTGGAAACACAGGGAATCCAGGACAGATAAACCCTCAGGACCAATAATGAGAGTAGCCAAACCTGGAGGGTAGGGAAGGTAGGGGAGAAAGGGGGAACTGATCACAATGATCTACCTATAACCCCCTCCCAGGGGACAACAGAAAAGTGGGTGAAGGGAGACGTCGGTCAGTGTAAGACATGAACAAATAATAATTAAAAAATTATCAAGGGTTCATGAGGGAGGGAGGTTGAGGGAGGGAGGATGGGGGGGGAATGAGCTGATGCCAAGGGCTCAAGTAGAAAGAAAATGTTTTCAAAAGGATGGCAACAAATGTAGAAATGTGCTTGACACATTGGATGGATGGGTGGATGGATGTGATAAGAGTTATATGAGCACCCAATAAAATGATTTATTAAAAATAAAAAATAAAGATGATCACTCCAAACTGATGATAAACCACAGCTCTAGGACGGTTACATAAGCCAAGGAAAAGCTCATTCAGGTGATGTGGGTTTCACTTGGCTGTCAGCTGGCCCAGGAGACCAGAGCCAGGTGTTAGGGATGCCCTTCATCTTTATGGAGCTTAGGTTTCTTACCTATAAACCCAGGAGTTTGGGGGCAGGTGATGTTTAAGCTTTTTTTGAGCCTGTGTAACTTCCTCATTCCTTATTATCTGAGCAAAGGTGTGCTTTAAAAAAGCAAAAACAAAAAATCTTGGAAAGTAAAACGACATTTTACTTTCTGTGATTCCCGTGTGGTTGGTGGTAGGTGGGTAGACAGGGTGCTGGGGACACAGTGGTACACAGATATGCGCTTTTCCTTCTCAGGTTTCCTTCAGTTAGTGTCCAGGGCAAGTGACAAGCAGACTAGGAGCGTTAACAAAACCACTACTAGCCTTCTCGTTGGCTCTGAGTCCAGATGAACCTGTGAGTGTCAGTGTTGAACTGTGTTTCACTGAGTTTTCAATATTAAGTTTTCAATATTAAAGACTTTCCAGAATTAAGTCTCCAGACTCTTTGTTTAAAGAACCTTCGGGTGAACTGACTTTGTTTTCAGGAAGCAGCTTATGCATGACTCAGAGTTCATCTGAGCGGAGTGTGCTGTTGAGAAGGAGGTCCACTCTGATGACCATGGGTCCAGTAGCACCTGAACTGCTCTCATAATCTTTCTCTTCTGTGTAGACTAGTAAGCGCAGAGTGGGGCGATAGAATTGGGATTTCTTGGGTGCCTGAGAGAGGCCCTAATTTTCTCCTTTCAGAGGGTAGGTCTGCCTTTGGCCATTTCCTTAAAAGAGCCTTGGTTCAGGCTGCCATGTTCACAAGGAGCCCAAATGTATGCTTGTGCTTTGGAGCATTTTAAGGAGGCTTGGAGGTATAGTGGGCTAAGAACGTTAGCGGTTCAAACCCACCCACTGACCCACAAGAGAAAGAGGAAGCATCTGTTCCTGTGAAGCTTCACAGTCTCAGAAACCCCGTGGAACAGTTCTACTCTGTCCTATAGAGTCACTGAGTTGAAATCAACTAGACAACTGTGGTGTATTGAAGCATTTTCAGATGCTTACAGAAGAGTACTGACGCATATAGGGTCGTAGGGAAGTTCCCATTCATTTGCATCTTTGGTCCTTAAAACGGAGTCTCTTACTCTGAGTGTGCTCCACAAAAGCACCTCCAATCATGCTGCCGTGATGGGGCTCTCTGTTCTGCTGTTCTGAAGGGCATTTGAAAGTACTGTCTTCACAGAAACCAGGCATCATTTGTCTCACAGTTTCCCGTTGCAGCTCTATGGTGTCTTTCCAGGGACCTTCAATGAGAGGCTTGCTGCTGCCTTCTAACTTCCCTCTTGCCCTGGTTCCCCATTCTGGTGCCCCATAGCCACCCTGCTTCCCACACTTATACCTGGGGTGTTCTCCAAGAACAGACTGCCAGTCATTGCATGTAAAATTGACTTCAGGACTTGGATTCTCTTATGGAGAGTTGACCATCTCCCTGCTGTTCCTTGTTGCTGTCTAGACTGTTTATTTGAAAACCTTGAGTACCTTCTGGTCTCTTCAGACTCAGACTGACCCTGTAGATCTGAGTAGAACTGCCCCTTAGGGTCTCTGAGGATGTAGTACGTTTGGAGGAGACTGCCACATCTTTCTCTGGTGGAGAGGCTGGGGCTGCTTATTCAGCCTTGAAACCCCTGTGCTAGACTGTCTTACTGTTGCTGGCTGCCTACCAGTTACCTCCTGTCTACATCAGCAGATGGGAGCAGCAGGACCAATTTTATCCCAGCTGGGACCACGTACATGCCTGCCCAGCGTTTTGCTCTATGGGTTCCTCCTATAGAGCAGAATTGTGGGTGGGGGTGGGGGTGGGGGTGGGGCGGAGATGGAAGGAAGGAAAAACCTGTTGGAGTGAGCAGAGAGCCTGAGGTCTAATTCAGGCTCTGCTGCTAAGAAAGTGAGACTTCATATCCTCATCTATAAATTGGCTAGAATAATATCTGTCTTGCCAGATTTGGTTACAAAACTGTTTTATGAATGCTATTTGTAATATTTTAAAATGCTTTTCTTCTATAGTGAACGTTTCAGCGGATAGTCAGTCATTGACACTATAAATCCAGAACAGAAATGATTAAATAGGAATGTTGGGTCGATTCTATGCTTTTCCATCAGTGACGACTGTTGACTTATTTAACAGAATTAAAGTACCCATAGACAAGAGAGTTTCCAAAAGGTCATGATAAAAATGGAATGAAAGGATAGTTGGATTTTCCACCACCTTTTTGAAACTTCCTCATATGTTTCTGCTGCTGCCGAGTTCTAACAATAAAATCAAGATGGCACACATGCTCCCTCCTTCCTCACCATTGCCACAGCTGGTTATAGATCAGACCTTTGTGGTTCATAAGGTTTTCATTAGTTGATTTTCAAAATTAGATTGCCAAGTTTTTCTTTATAGTCTATCTTATTCTGGAAGCTTCACTGAAAGCTGTTTAGCCTCATAGCAACACATAAGCCATCAATAACAGACAGGTGATTGTGGTGCATGAGTTGAGTTGGCCAGAAATGAAACCTGGGTCTCTTGCATGAAAGTCAAGTCAAGAATTCCACAACCGGGTCACCGAAACTCAAACAAAACTCAGTAATCGAGTCTATTCTGACTCTATAGGATAGGGTAGAACTTCCCCTATGCGTTTCTGAGACTGTAACTTTATGGGGGTAAAAAGCCTAATCTTTTTCCCACAGAGCATCTGGTGATTTTGAATTGCTGACGTTACAGTTAGCAGTGCAACACCTACCACTACACCACCAGGTTGCTCTGGATCACCAATGCTCCCTATATATGTTTTACAGGCATTTTAATTATTTCAGTCTTGCTTAAATAGCCCTTTGCCCTCTATTCTCTAAACTTCATTGATTTCACTGGGTAGAAAAAAAATGAACTTTTATCTTTTCATCTACATAGTCATAGAACTGTGGGGCGTATGGTTATTTAATGGTGGCCGATACAAATAATTGAAAGCACCTCTTACAATTGCTTAGCTTTTCTTGCTCAAACTTACTCTTATCTCCTTGATTCTAAGTGGCACACACCGTTCACCCATGGGCATCACGGATCGTGTCATTTCTGCTTTGCTTGTTATACATTCTGCTCATGCTGCCAGTGTGGGATTAGGTGTGAATCTTGATCATATTAAAAATAAAAGCAAAAGGTCACGATATCATTTTTTAAGAATTATATAGGCAATTACATCTGATGACTACTGCTCATTGACGGAAAATTGGGAAATACAGATAAACCTCCAACTTCCTCAATAGTTTATCTTTCTTAAACATAAAAAACATTAAAAAGTTTACATACAAACGTCTAAATTATAATCACATCAAACCATGAACTACATAGACTGCTTCGTGATCTTCAATTTCATATCACTTTGTATCTTTCCACATATGGAAACCTCTGTCTGAAAAATCCCTTTTTAAAAAAAAACATTAAAAAATTTTTTAATTCAGTGGTGCTTACATTTCAGGTTATCAGCTTGGCATTCAATGTCCAAATCACTAATGGGACCCTTCCAGAGACCACTCCCGACTCATCCCTGACCCTTCTCCCCATGGACCACTGTCCACCATGACAGCCAGTCTCCTCACTTCTACCAGCTGCAGAGCATTCCACTCTCTGCATGGGCTACCAATTAGTTCATCAGTTCTCTGGAGGGAGACATCTCATATCTGTTTTCTTTTGTTTTCCATTTTCAACGCTGCTGTTGAAAATCCTTGTCAAATTATTTCTCCATATAATTGCCTATGAGGAAAGTCCTGAGTTAAAAATAAACACACTTTTAGCATTTCCAATTTACATTTTAACACAATATAAATGTAAGATTAAGAAGTAAAACTGAAATGGACTTGGAGTCTTTAATGACAAACAAGTTCATCTCAAACAAACTAAATAAACAGATTTTGTGATAGGAAGAAATCTTATACCAATGAACACTCCAGCCAGCGATGTAAACATATTCATTAAAAAAAAAAAAATTAAAACCCAGTTAAACCCTAGTAATTTTCTTTATTATCTAGTAGTTCCTAATTTTTCTTCCATTTTTATTTTAGTAAAAGTATTTAAAGTTAAAAAAAAAAGTATTTAAAGTTTTTAAGCACATGCTTTCATTAGTAAATAATAGTAATGGAACCTCTCTTCTGTTTCTTATCACATTTTCCTCTAGGTTAATTTCTCTTTTCTCTCCCTGTTGTTTCCCTCCAGGATGGAAGTATGATGTGATGGATAGAATTATGGGATACTGTGTGGGCACACGGCCACCTCCTCCGTGCCTCATCCTCCTGCTTGTCAAACTCTTGGCCACCTTCTCCCAGGGGTTGCCAAGGACCGGGCCCCTGGGCTTCCACTTCACACATTCCGTCTATAATGCTACTGTGTATGAGAATTCTGCAGCAAGGACCTATGTCAACAGCCAGAGCAGAATGGGCATCACCCTGATAGACCTGTCCTGGGATATCAAGTACAGAATCGTCTCCGGAGATGAAGAAGGCTTTTTCAAAGCAGAGGAAGTCATCATTGCGGACTTTTGTTTCCTCCGAATAAGGACCAAAGGGGGCAATTCCGCCATCTTGAACAGGGAGATACAGGACAATTATTTATTGATAGTGAAAGGTTCTGTCAGAGGGGAAGATTTAGAAGCATGGACCAAAGTGAATATACAGGTTTTAGATATGAATGACTTGAGACCTTTGTTTTCACCCACAACATACTCTGTTACAATCGCAGAAAGCACACCTTTAAGGACTAGCGTCGCCCAGGTGACAGCCACAGATGCAGACATCGGTTCCAACGGAGAATTTTACTACTACTTTAAGAACAAAGTTGATCTCTTTTCCGTTCACCCCACGAGTGGTATTATCTCTTTAAGCGGACGCTTGAATTATGATGAAAAGAATAGGTATGATCTGGAAATTTTGGCTGTGGACCGTGGGATGAAACTCTATGGAAACAATGGAGTGAGCAGTACTGCCAAGCTTTATGTTCACATTGAACGGATAAATGAACACGCCCCAACTCTCCATGTAGTCACTCACGTCCCCTTCTCATTGGACAAGGAGCCCACTTATGCTGTAGTGACCGTCGATGACCTAGATGAGGGGGCCAATGGAGAGATTGACTCTGTTTCCATTGTGGCCGGGGATCCTCTCGATCAGTTTCTCCTGGCTAAGGAAGGAAAGTGGCTGAACGAGTACAAGATTAAGGAGAGAAAACAGGTTGACTGGCCAAGCTTCCCCTATGGCTGCAATCTCACTCTTCAAGCAAAGGACAAGGGGTCACCGCAGAAGTTTTCGGAAGTCAAGATCGTCCACATTGCCAACCCCAAAAGAGACATTGTCCCCCTGAGATTTGAAAAAGACGTGTATGATGTGAGCATCAGTGAATTTTCCCCTCCTGGTGTGGTGGTGGCTATAGTCAAATTAAATCCCGAACCGCTAGATGTGGAATACAAACTGACTCCTGGTGAGGATGCAGAGTATTTTAAAATTAACCCTCGGTCTGGTCTAATTGTCACAGCACAGCCACTGAATACCATTAGGAAGGAGGTTTATAGACTGGGGGTGTCAAACAAGGAAGGGGATTTAAAAGCACAAGTTACCATTGGCATAGAAGATGCAAATGACCACACCCCCGAATTCCAGCATCCAGTCTATGAGGCTTTTGTGAATGAAAGTGTCCCTGTGGGAACCAGCATTCTGACAGTTTCTGCTTCTGATAAGGATAAAGGAGAAAATGGATACATCACCTATAGTATCGCCAGCCTGAATTTGTTACCTTTTGCCATTAACCAGTTTACTGGTGTTATTAGCACAACTGATGAATTGGATTTTGAATCCTCTCCAGAGAATTACAGGTTTATCGTGAGAGCCTCTGACTGGGGTTCACCCTACCGCCACGAAAGTGAGGTCAATGTGACTATCCGGGTAGGAAATGTCAATGACAACAGCCCTCTCTTTGAGAAAGTTGCTTGCCAGGGAGTTATTTCCTATGACTTCCCGGTTGGGGGTCACATCACAGCTGTCTCGGCAATCGATATTGATGAACTTGAACTTGTGAAGTACAAAATCCTCTCTGGAAATGAGCTTGGTTTCTTTTATTTAAACCCAGATTCTGGTGTTTTACAACTGAAAAAGTCACTGATGAATTCGGGCATTAAAAACAGTAATTTTGGCCTCCAGATTACTGCCACGGACGGGGAGCATTTTGCAGACCCCATGTCTGTTAACATTTCCATCCTGCATGGGAAGGTGTCTTCCAAGAGTTTCAGTTGCAGAGAAACACGTGTGGCTCAAAAGCTGGCGGAGAAACTGCTCATCAAAGCAAAAGCAAACGGGAGACTGAATCTGGAAGATGGGTTTCTTGACTTTTATTCCATTAATAGGCAAGGACCACATTTTGACAAGTCTTTTCCTTCTGATGTGGCTGTGAAGGAGGACCTACCAGTTGGTGCTAACATCCTGAAAATTAAAGCCTATGACGCGGACTCTGGCTTCAATGGGAAGGTGCTCTTTACCATAGCTGATGGAAATACAGACAGCTGCTTTAATATTGATATGGAGTCCGGGCAGCTTAAAGTCCTTATGCCCATGGATCGAGAACAAACAGACCTCTATCTCCTTAATATCACCATCTATGACTTAGGTAACCCGCAAAAGTCTTCATGGAGGTTGCTGACTATCAATGTGGAGGATGCCAATGACAATCATCCAATTTTTCTTCAAGACAGTTACTCGGTTAACATTCTTGAAAGTTCAAGCCTTGGTACTGAGATTATTCAAGTGGAAGCCAGCGACAAAGACTTGGGTTCCAACGGTGAGGTGACTTACTCAGTCTTGACCGATACCAAGCAATTTGGCATCAATAGCTCAACGGGAATTGTTTATGTAGCTGACCAACTGGACCGAGAATCTAAATCAAATTACTCTTTGAAAATAGAAGCCAGGGACAAGTCAGACAGCAGTCAGCAATTGTTTTCGGTTGTCACTCTCAAAGTGTTCTTGGATGATGTCAACGACTGCTCCCCAGCCTTCATTCCCAGTAGTTACAATGTGAAAATCCTGGAGGATCTCCCCATTGGCACTGTCATTGCTTGGCTGGAGACCCATGATCCAGACCTTGGATTGGGAGGCCAAGTGCGCTACTCTTTAGTCAATGATTATAACGGGAGATTTGAAATCGATAAAGCGAGTGGTGCCATCCGGTTGAGTAAAGAACTTGACTACGAAAAACAGCAGTTCTATAACCTCACTGTCCGGGCCAAAGACAAAGGGCGCCCTGTTTCCCTGTCGTCCGTTTCCTTTGTTGAGGTGGAAGTGGTGGATGTCAACGAGAACCTGCATACCCCTTACTTCCCAGACTTTGCTGTTGTTGGATCTGTAAAAGAAAACTCACGCATCGGAACAAGTGTGCTGCAGGTGACCGCTCGAGATGAGGACTCGGGCAGGGATGGCGAGATCCAGTACTCCATCAGGGATGGCAGTGGTCTTGGAAGGTTTAATATAGACGACGAGAGCGGTGAGTATAACGTTTTTGGCCAGAAGTGTTGTTTTCAATTCTTGAATTGTCAACATTGGAAAGGATATTCTGGTGAGAAAATGGAATGACAAATAAGGTTGTATTCCACGCGGAGATGACACGAGGAAGTTTCCTCTTAGAATGTGTTAGTTTGTTAGAAGACCTGTGTATTCAGTAATGTCTTGGCTTTCCAGGAAGTCCTGCTTTTTTATGGTTCAGTATTACTGCTACTCGGCTATCTTTCGATAAGCGTAAGTAATTGTCACTTCTGTTGATTGCACTTTTGACCTTCACTAAATTAAGGGCCTTGATAAAGCAAATTACTTTGGAATTGGCTGTAAATTAGAAGTGTGAAATAGATTTTCAATGGCTTTGGATAGGAACCCTTTCCGTTACAGTAACGCTTTGCTGAGGCTGTAGTGCACATTTCACGGGCACGATTAGACCTTGAATGACAGCATTCACCTGTGTGTGCTTCATTAATATGAGGGAAAAACCTTTTTTTAACATTTGTGGGGAAATCCCATTATTTTTTTCATTCCATTTGTCCATGGACTTAAAAAAAAATCTCTCTACAAAAAAATTACAAATGATAGAAGAGAGATGTGTCCTGGATTACACTTATAAAATTGATTTTTTATTAGGATATATTTTTATGGGAAGTGCTTTTGAAGAGGAACCAACTTTCTCCTGATATTTTCATTGGCCCCATCCACTGATATACTCTCCCTCACTGACGCAGACATGGGCTTTTGTCCCCTACGCTAGTCACTGTTATTATTTGTCTTTAAATGTACGTTTGGGGACACCCAGATGGATGCGTACCTCCTCATAAGCACTGCACATGCTGCTAGTCTTTAGCTTGTAGACATATCAAGATGGGGAGCTCTGTCTTCGCTAGTCCCATGTAAATGGAAATATTAGCATATTACAGTTTTCAGGTCACATTTATGTACATTAAGACATTTTCTAAAAGACATACGTTGATGATGCAATTCTGAATAGGCTGTGGGAAGGTGTCATTATATTGATACTAACTGTATATTAGTAAGACTAGAAAAGGGATTTGAGAAACCGCATTAAACATTAGACTGAGTTGCATAGCTCTATGTACTTCTGCAAACTCCACCTGTGATTTTGAACATAATAAAGTACATTTATGGCCAGTGTAAAAGTTGTTCTCCATAACCATCAGAAGGAAAGGATAAATGTCAGGCTAATTGAGCCCTGATTTGGTCACATACTGAAGCCGAAAAGAACTGATGCATTCCAATCATGGTGTTGGCAAAGAATATTAAAAGTACCGAGGACTGCTAGAAGAACCGACACCTCTCCCTTGGAAGGAGCATTGCTAGAATGCTCCCTAGAAGTGGGAATGGTTGGACTTTGTCTCATTTACTTTGGACATGTCATCAGGAGAGACTAGTCCTTGGTAAAGGAGATCATGTTCAGGAAAGTGAAGGTTTGTGGAAAAGAGAAAGACCAGCAAGGAGACAGATTGACACTGTGACTACAGCAAAGGGCTCAAACACAACAATTGTGAGGCTGGCTCAGAACCAGGTAGTGTCTACACAGGGCGTCTGGGAGTCAGAACTCCCTTGGTGGCACCTGACAACAACAGCATATTTTATCACATGTACTTTGTCATTTGTTTCAAATATATATCCATCTTTGAAGCCCATACTGAGGAAGTAATCTTTACAGATTGCCTACTCTGCTAATACTTTACTATCACTAAACCCAACTTTTTGAGTACTTAAAATGTGCAAGACAGAGGTATTTTTAAATTCCCTAGTAGCCCATGCAGTGGAGCTCATAATCATCAACTCATGAGCTGAGGTTCAGAGAAGGTCCACAGTTGAGAGCCCCGTTTCAGACTGGGTGATGCTGATTGCTGACATGCTAAGCTGGTAACCAAAGGGTTGGAGACGTTAGTCAATCTAAAAGTGCCTTGCAGTAAGGACACCGACTTCTGCAAAATCAGCCATTGAAAACCCGATGGGGCACAAGTCTACTCTGACACCCGTGGGGTCACCGTGAGTTCGATTCAACTCTAAGACAATTGGTAAAGTTTCAAACAGCACAGAATAACTGCAGTATACTATGTTATCTCTCAGCTAAAGAGAAGTATAGGCTTCTCTGTGTGTTTTTAGCTACACTTCAATTTGGTGTTGGGCTCAAAACTGCAATGAAGTCCCTACAAATTTGGACTCATTGAATTCTGATATTAACCATTGTTCCTTTTTGCCTCAGAATTTATTATTTGTGTGTTTCTCCCTTGACCAAGACTAGCATTTAGACTCAAGTGGATATGAGTAGTAAGTAGGCAAACAGGAAGGAAGGTGTCCATAAGCCATGTATTACTGTTATCCAGATGTCTAAGCGATAGTCAGTTTTTGGTTGAGGCAGTAAAGGACAGGGACAGTTACCTAGATTTCTCTCATTTCTGCTATGTTATTTTGATCTTTGGTTGGCTGTTATTTTTGAAAATGTGTGCGTGAATTCCTTTGATGACCAAACTGTTCCTAAAATTCTTGACTCCGTGAATTTGATGTCCCTTACCTGAGTCGGCAAAACAATTCATTGTTTTGCATTTATTCCACTATTTTTTGCATTGCACGAAACAAACTGGCCATCAAACGTCACTTATATTTTGACATTCTGACATTGTGTTGGGACTTTAAAAGTTCTTTCTTATAAGTATTAACTGCTCTGGGTTAAAGAGTAGCTAAGTGAGTTGTACACAGTGGAAAATAAAGCTGGGTCTAGAACCCACAGCTCCTCAGTCCAAACCCAAAGCTCTTTTCTTTGCAGTCATTACCTAGGATTTTGATTGAGCTTCCAATATAAGTTTAAGTGTTCCCAGCTAGGGTCACACCTTCTTTTCCTCTTTATCATCATTCTGTTCCCTCCCCTTAGAACACAGAACTACATTTTTTATCTACATTGTAGGAAATACGGGTTGGATGAAGTGTTGGAATCTTCTGTGCAGTTTAGATTTTCCACTTAATAATACTCTTAGCCATCGAATGTCTTCCTTTGTTACCCCATGATTTTAGCATCATTTCAAATCCCGGAGGGTGATGAGGCGTGACCCCCTCAAGGTTGAAGAGAAGATTGACAATTGGATGTCCAGCCAAAGGAACCAGTGCTGGGGTGCCATTGGGTTCACAGTACTGCTGGACAGTCCCTCCGCTGTTTGCCTCTAACTGCCAAAAAGCATGGTTCGGGCTTCTGGAAGAATGCAGGACAACGTAGCCCCACTGTGATGATGCCGTCTCAATTCCACTCTCTTCTTTACGTTTGACCGTAGGGCCATACGATGGCCTAAACTTGTTTGTATCTTATACTTGGGGTTATGCATCTGAGTCATCTGTCAAGGATTATTTAAGGGTCTGCATAAATTAGTTGTTCTCAAACATTGGAGTGCAAATGAATCACTGAAGGGGGTTGTTAATAATGCAGATTTCCAGGCCAGGTTTTGGAAGATTCTGATCCAGTTGCTCTAACGTGAGGTTCAGTCATCCTCCATGAAGAACTGAAAGTATCTCTTCTGCCTGGGTTTGTCAGCACTGCTTTAAACGGCCTTGGCCTCCTGAGAGAGGGGCTAGCCCGGCTTCTCCTCCCTGCAGTCTTTCCCTTTTTCTTTGGAGGGGCAGAGAACTGACCCCATCCTTTCCAAACGCTCTTTCCTAATCATTTTTCACTTTTATCATTCATTTCTGCTGATGTTTTTTCTCTGGGCTCCTTCCCTGATGGATCTAAAATCTATTTCTGTGCTTCACTGATTACGGCGCTCCTGTTTTGTGAAACTGCAAATGCTGGGGTTTAGTTGATGCATTTCGTAGTTTCATGTTCTTGACTTAATTTTGAGCTCAGCAAGCAAAACCATACTTTTTTTTCTTCTTTACCATGCACAGGCATTTAATAAGTGTTTAATAATGTGCACAGTAAATGGATTAACTGGGGGGTGCCCAACTACAGTGAATTTGATCACAGTTTAAATCACTAGTCTGGAAGATGCAATTTAATCACTTTTCTCCTTCACAAAGAACGCATTCTTACTTTGCCACAACAGGATCCATATTCGTGACGACTCAAAGGTTTCAGAAGGTTTAGAAAGACCTCATTGTATTTTCTGAACTGCGATTTTCTATTACACTGTGTGTGCGTGCGTTTCTGTACATTTGAGAAATGATTTCCCCATTTTATTTCCCTGAGGTTAATTAAAGAAATATTTAATTAGGATAAACAATTTCCAGTCCAGCACATTAATCATAGATAATTGGGAAGATATTTTTGCCATCCATATTATTAATTGTGTTATTTGTTTCATTTATCAAATACCTGTTTGTAGCAGGCGCTGTGCTGGCAGCATTTTAGGCATTGTTTCTGATTGTCACTGTGATTCTGGAAAGTGGGGGTAGTAGAATTTGGCTTTATTAAGGCCTCTTATCAGGTCATTGGCAAAAGTGGGATTTAAACTCATATGTGATGGACATCAAATTTCATGTTTCCTCCTTTTCCACTCCCGCTCGCCATCACAACCTTGTCTAACATATGTGTTATTCCATAACAGTCACAGCGTGTTGGGGTGTAAACTTTCTCGTTGGTGGGTGTGGAGGAACAACTGAAGTAGCTTTGTCCAAGGTTTGGGTTAAGATCTCTTTCCCATGTCACCTCATTCCTAGGATCCCGCCTAAGTCGCATCTGCTCCCTGGGATGCAGGGTCTCAAAGCAGAGGGCAGGAATACAGTGAGCAAATGGAAGACTTCTATTCAAAACTGGCCAAAATGGGTTCCACCCTTGATGGGGACAAAGGAGGCTCCCTCCTCTAGGAGAGAGGCAGAAATTAATAATGACAATACATCCTGACCATATGGCACCTCTCACTCTCACCCTCCCAAACTAACCTTACCTGAGCATCACCTGTGCGTGAGACCCTGGGCCCTACACTAGTGACAGAAAGAGGACCTGGCCTTCCAGAGTGGACCATGGTC